AAGGCCGACAATTAGTTGATGTCGTCCCATGGTCCTGCGTCCTCACACCTACCAACAAAACTCGAGACGAAGACCACGGGACGACATTAACAGACAGTTAAGGCAACTACTCACACTCAATGCAAGGAGTGAGCCGAAGCAAATTAAACTTACGCTGATGAAGCACACTGGGGTTCCTCCTCCTCTTCCTCCTCGACGAGAATGGCTGACGAGGAGTCAGCATCAGCCGGTTCCGTGTCCATTGACTTTGCCCACGTGAGAAGCTGGTGATTCCGTGACTGATCAAAGACGTAGTCTAAGACTGCAAGCTGTTCCTCTAGCCGATTGAACCGTTGGTAGTGACGTACTTTACAAGGAAAAAGACGACACAAATTAGATCCGTAAAACCGAAGCAAACGACGATTGGAAGAAAGGCGTCTAATTAAACAGTTCGGCGCCCATCGAAAATGGCATTTATATAAAGGCTGCGAAGTCAAGTGTGCGAATGAGGGAAACGAAGATAACGGCGAGCAAGGCCGTCCTTGCCAACAATAATTCTGAATTATTAACTACTGGTCTTTAGGTGGTCTTAAGACCTAGAGCTTCAAGGCAAAGAAAGGCAACGGCAGGTTGTGAAAGTCCCCTTAGCCATCACCAACTCCTAGCGTCGTTTAAAATGGGAATGGCGTTACGGATGATTTTGAGGATGGGGCCTGGCCGCGGACAGGTAGCGAAATGTGTGCAAGAAAACATAAAAAACCAAATAGATTTCTGCCAAATGTGTTCTTCTGTTATAGCAACAAGATTAAGTGGTATTTTAAAAAAAAAATGAACCAAAACCAACTTTCAAGAAATAAAATGAATTTAAATAACAGCAAAAACTTTGTACATTTCGGCATATGAATCTAGTAGTTAATACACAGAGTTACCTCGCATACCTATTAAATAATAATCCAATCCAAACCAGGCGAGCCTATGCATTTTAAACACGTTGGGCTTACATAACTAATCCTTATCGGAAGGATAAAATGTCCATGCCTGCACTACAAGGAGGATAGATTGGTGGACGAAAATAGCTGGGGTGGTAATAGTCACAGAGTGGCGTTTAACCGCCCGATGTGCCATGCAACTTCTTGAACAGGATCAGTAAAAGTGTAATAACTAAACGGCTTGATGCTATGTTTGCTTGCCATATAGAAGTTAACAGCACTATCAGGTGCTCTGCGAAGTTAACGAGATTTGTAGCATCTATGCAGTGGGAGAACTCAAATCCCTACAATCATGAGATCGAATCCCGGATTGTTTGAAAAGGCAGAAGGTACCGGTGGGAGATATTTGTTGTGCACAGAACTTCCAATTGCTGTCTCAAAGTCAGGGCTGGCGTCGACTGCGCCCAGTCATGCCTGAGTGAGTGTGTGAGTGAGAGGGAGGGAGGGAGTGGTAGCAGCTGAGTCTATGTGATTGTGGAGCAAGTTCGAGTGGTGTACGACCGGTGTACAGTAGTCGCCGGTTATAAAGCCCACCTCGGGCCCAGACCAAATTGGGC